CATTTTTTTTTTTTTTTTTTTTTTCTTCACAGACAAATGTGGGAAGGGAAAGGTTGAGGGGAGAGGATAAATATAGTGGATGGTGATGCTTAATATTAGAATTCAGCTGAGTGAGTGGATTGCACAAAGAAACAAAAAAAACATGTTTGTTTCTCCTTGTTTCTCGCCAACTCTTTCTAACGTTCCACATCATTTTCTCCCAACTCTTTTAACTCTCGCCTCAATCTCCCTTTCTTAATATCAACAAAAAAAACATTAGTACAGGCCACCACTAATACATAACACAACATAACATAAATAGTCTGTAGGATGAAAGTTATTTAAGAAACTTTTATTTAACTAAATTCAAACTTTATTGAAACCAAAGAAATCCAATTTGTAATTTAACAATTTTTTATTCTTTTCAATATTCTAACATAAAATTGGAGAAAGTATTTTCTAAAACAAATTAAGCTGTTTTTTTTTATTTTTTTTTTTTATAGGGATTCAAATATTAGTGTTTTTAAAAACAAATGAATAACTATCAATTATATATTTAAAACAACATTACTTGCATACATGTTATAAAATTTGTTTCAACCATTGTCACAATCAAATAATTGGGGTTTAGAGCGAGATAAACTTAATTTTAATTTATTGGAATCAATAATTTCTAATTTAATATTTAGGAGTTTTGTAGAAAAAAGAATTTAATAGAAACTAAATTATGACTTTCTCAACATTTATATTTTATATATATATATCATTTTATTCTTTTTCCAACTGTACCTCTTCGTTTTCTTCTCCCTCATTTTCTATTGGTTCATACCTTACACTCTCTCTCTCCCAAAATTTCTTTTTCCAACTCTCTCTGAAGTTAAACCCATATACATTGTGTAATTGCCGGCAGTTTTGGACGGAATAATGGCCGGATTTGTGGCCAGCGACAGCGACAGTCCACCAGATGTGGCTCTACTGGACTTTGTTCGAGATGTTGTTCGAATGTCGGCGGGGACGAACAGTCTAAAGGTTTTCAAAAAGGATTGCACCGATCTCGTGCGTCGGATCGTGCTTTTGACGCATTTGTTTCAGGAAATCAGAGACTTTAATGGCGTCCAATTTCGACCTGTTCATACATCTTGCTCTTCTTCTTCTTCTTCTTCTTCTTCTTCTTCTTCTTCTTCTGGGAGTGATTCATCTCCGAGTCCGTGGCTGTGTGATTTGGTGGCGGCATTGAAGGATACTAAACGCCTTGTTTTCATCGCTTCGACTTTCCGGTCCTGCAGTTCTTCTTCTGTACGCGCTTTGTCTAATTTTCTTTCAATCTTCTGTTGGACTTCTGTTGAAATTGGGAGGGGGGAGATGAATTAGCAGCTTGAGGAATTTGAAGAGTAGTATCTCAACTTGATGGTGTTTATTATCATTTTCAGTCTCCTGCATTCATATAAAACTAAATTTCACTTCATTTTCTTCTGGTTAGTAACATAGCTTTTCCGCTTCGAAGTTGTGCTTTATGGAGCTACTGATTGAATGAACGGCCACTTGTTTCTCACGATCTCATGTTTGGTTACTGATTTTCATTCACTAGTGGTGTTAGTTTCTCTACAAAATTTTGATGATGTTGATTTTTGTCATTCGGAGGACAACTGTGATGAATTTTAACTTTGAATGCTGTGGCACCGCTTTCACATATGCTACTTTTGGATGAACTTATTATCTGTCGTGTACACGGTGTTAGTTAGACGAATCAAGAATCTAGAACGAGGAAAGACAAGATCGCTAGATTACTGGGTTATTGATCAGTGTTCATAGTTAGTTCTGTTACGATCTCCACGGCACAGGTGTTTAGTTGCAGATCGTAGCCATTTGATCATACTCGTTATTTCAAACATTGACGTTCATGAATGTTTCTAAGATGTTTGCCGATTTTCTTCTTGTTGAATCAATAATGGGATGGTGTTGATAAGTCCAAATTTACCTTTTCTGAAATTTGTCTACGTTTTAATTTTAAGGAGGAAGTTACCAGGAAGATACTCTTCCAATTCCAATGTGTGACGCTGAAGTTAGAGAATGCTTTGGGAAATCTTCCTTATGATCGCTTTGATATATCAGAGGAAGTTCAAGAACAGGTAGGATTCGACGAAAAAAAGTACGAACTAGTTTTTGACTTTTCAAATTCTGAGCATACTCTAAAATCTTCTATTGATTCTGTAGGTTGAATTAGTGAGAGCTCAGATGAGAAGAGCAGCAGAAAAATATGGCTCTCTGACCGCAATTCCTCCTTCAGTTGTTCAATCTCAGTTGCTAAAGAAAAACATGGATATGTTGAATCTGAACAACTGGGCTGATAACTTTGATGTTGAGGAGAATGGTGTTGTTGATCATGAGATTACAGTGAAATTTGATGAATTTCCAAATTGCAGAGGCTTCATGAATAATGGTGTGGATCAGCTGATTTTCGAAGGACTTGAGAAGAAACTTCCATCCTCCTCAGAGGCTTGTTCTGATGGACAGGATGCTTCTACCAAAAAGAGTGGAGATCAGGTGAAGAACTCAGATGGAGTTTCAATACCTGATGATTTTTTATGCCCCATTTCCCTGGAAATAATGAGGGATCCTGTTATTGTGTCCACAGGACAGGTATGCTTAGTTGAATTCTATGATAATGATTACTTAGATATTTCTTTTGAATTCTATTATCATTTTGGTCCTTATACTTGGAACTCACTCCATTTTAACTTTTAAAGTATAGGGACCAAAATAGAAATTTACCCTTTGATGAATTTGAGCTTAGTGTTGAAGAAACTTGGATTCTTTTATGCCTTTTCTAATAGTTCTCTTTCTAACAACACAGACCTATGAGAGATCTTATGTGCAAAGGTGGATAGATTGTGGGAATACTACTTGCCCCAAAACTCAGCAGAAACTCCAAAACTTGACTCTCACCCCAAATTATGTACTGCGAAGTCTTATTACTCAGTGGTGTGTTGATCACAATATTGAGCAACCGACAGGATTAACCAATGGAAAGATCAAAAAGTGTGATGGATCATACCGTGATGTGTGTGAGGAGATGGCAGCCATTGAAACTCTGGTGCGCAAGCTAACTAGCCATTCGATTGCGGAGCAGAGAGCTTCTGTGACTGAAATTCGATCTCTATCAAAAAGAAGCACGGATAATAGAATTCTGATAGCTGAAGCAGGAGCAATACCAAATTTGGTCAATTTGTTAACTGCTGCTGATGTTTTAATACAAGAGAATGCAGTTACTTCCATTCTCAACCTTTCAATATATGAGAACAATAAGGGACTGATTATGCTTGCTGGTGCAGTACCTTCCATTGTCCAAGTTCTGAGAGTTGGGAGCATGGAAGCGAGAGAAAATGCAGCAGCTACACTTTTCAGCTTGTCTCTTGCTGATGAAAATAGGATAATCATTGGTGCTTCTGGGGCCACTCCGGCTCTTGTGGATTTACTTGAAACTGGAAGCCCAAGAGGGAAAAAGGATGCTGCAACCGCACTATTTAATTTGTGTATCTATCAGGGGAATAAGGGAAGGGCTGTGAGGGCAGGGATCATCCCAGCTCTATTAAGGATGCTCAACGTCTCAGGTAACTCCATGGTCGACGAAGCTCTCACAATAATGTCGGTCCTGGCCAGCCATCAAGAAGCAAAAGTAGCCATGGTGAAAGCCAGTACCATACCTGTTCTAATAGATCTGCTGAGGACCGGATTGGCTCGCAACAAAGAAAATGCTGCTGCTATTTTGCTTGCTCTATGTAAACGAGATACCGACAACCTTTCTTGCATAAGTAGGCTTGGGGCTAAGATTCCGCTGACTGAGCTCTCCAAGAGCGGCACAGAGAGAGCAAAAAGGAAGGCTACCTCACTGTTGGAACATCTTGGAAAACTACAGCAGCTATAGAAAAGGTGTGGATTTGTGAACAAGCATTTTCCATATTTTTCCCACTTTGAGTTCCCCACTACTTTACATTTGACACTTAATTTTCAGCTCCTTCTTCTCCTTGATTGTGATAACAAGGAATTAGGGATGAATGGCTAATGATGGCCACTTTCCGTGAATCTGTTTACTTCATTCCTTCATTATATTGTACAAGTGTGTATAAATTCATTTAACAAAAATTCATTTAACAAATTTGTGTTATAACAAGAAGCTACTGTTTGGGAATACTTGGACTTTCTCACTCTATTTTACCCCCTTTTTCATTGTCCAGTTTCTTCTTGTAACGGTTAGACGAACACGACTCTCCACAATGGTATGATATTACTCACTTATACCAAAAGGCCTCATACCAATAGAGTTAGTATTCCTCACTTATAAATCCATGATCACACCCTAAATTAGTCGATGTGGGACTTCCATCATCCAACAGTAACAACATTTTTCAGTTTTCTCACCGTTCCTTATTCATCTTCTCATGTTGAGTGAAAACAAGGAGGAACGTTAAACAGTAGATTCAGCCAAAAATGATTATCGTGCACAACACAGATAGCTACATATGTATGATGAAGTTAACTAATAAATACATAGTGAGTTCTATGTATATTCTACAAAAGCAAGCTCGTGCAAGATTCAAATGTTTTTAAACTGAAGTAAAAGTCATAACGTAGCACTTCCCGTAGATCATTACTGTATTACTTCAATATACTTATTCATGAATCTTGTTCTTCTCGATAATTAAGATGCTACCGCAATTTCAGTCCCTGCTTCCATTGTCGTCATGAAACTTACACGTCGCTTCTGCATTTTCAACTCGCTCTTTAAAAAAAAAAAATATATATATATATATATATATATAGCACAAAGAATTATATATATTTTTTTATGATTTAAAAATATTAGAAAAATTCCTTGTCACAAATAGTAAGAGGGAAAAGAATGAAGAAATAAACTAATCAATGATATTAAATTTCATTAATGGTAGTTTTCCATTTTACAAAACTATATTAATAATTAGGGGAAAGAAAAGGTTGCGTCTATTATACGATGGAAGAAAATTGTACAAAAAGTTGAGCAATTAATGGCCCCGCACTATCTATTTAATGAATTTGATTGATATCTAACATTTTTTTTTTTTTTTTTTAACTATTGAAAAAATAAGTTAAATTATAAATTTAGATTCATTTTGCTAGATATTTTGTAGGAAAAATAATTATGTAAAACAAAGATGGTCAGGCTAAGAAAAGATTGGCATTAATGGGTTTTGAATACAAAAACACCAATTAAATGAGAATAGTTGATAATTATTTTTAGATTTATTTATTTTCATTAAATAATTTCAAATTGTAAAAGAACTTTATTAATTTTGAAAATTAAAATGAGATGAAAATTCAAACTCCAATAATTATAGGATGGAAAAGTCTGCAAAGATAAGTTACACTAATTAATGGGTTAGAACACCAAGCACTAACCGAATAACCAAATAACCAAATAAAAAGAGACAAATCTGATAGTGAGACTCAACTTGGCAACCTAATTTTATTATTTTGAAAATTAATAATCATTAAAAATAGTCAGTTTAAATATAATTTAGGAACTCGTCAAGATATTTTCTAAAAAGAAACAAATTTGAAGGTATAATATTCTATGGATATTTATAATAAGATGTTGATGTGGTTTTGGCAAAAGAAAAAAAAAACAAATGAAATTAAATATATTGAGTCATTGGATAGTGAGTGAGTCAACTTGGGGTCATCCATTTAAACGAATAAAAGTGAATTATAAATTTAATTAAAGTAAAATGCAATAATAATAATAATAAAAGATGAAAAAGTAAAAGGCATACGCACCTCACGTGGCTTGATGCCATCCTCCTTCTCCTGTTTTGGCGCACTTTTGGAGGCACTTTGTGTGGTTTTATCCATGTAAAGTCCGTACAGTCCCACGATCTTCTCCGCCGCCTCTCCCTTATCTTTGCTTTCCTTCAACAGTTTCTCCACCTCCGCCCTCGGCAGCCTCACCTTCAGCCGTGTCGTTCCCGCTCCCGATGACCCCTCCCCGGCGTCCTCCTCCGCCAACACACTCTTTGGCTTCATGATAGTTAGGTCTGATGCGGAGCGCCGTGCCAGCATCAAACTCTCTAGCCTGTCCTTGGCGCTCATGTGGATTGCGGAACGTATGCGGCGTGGTGGCTGTATTGAGAATAAGAATAAGAATATGAATAAAAGGGTTAAACGTAGAGTAATTAATTAGTTAAGTTTGTAATTTGATTACCGGTTGGTTTGGAAGCTTAGGCAGGTCCACCAGAAAATAGAGGCGCTTCCTGCTGAGGTTTTGGTGGGGTTCCAACGGCTTCGCGCGGACACCGTAGTGCTTCACAGCCTCGGAATCCAGCAGAACGAAGCCGGGATAATCTTTGACAACGTCTCCGGCTTGAACCGGGGTGTTTAGCTTCATGGTTTCCCCGGTGACCTTCATCACCTTCACTGTCTTCTTACCTCCAAACGCGTTTCCCATGGCGCCCAAAAGGGAATGAGCGAAGATAGGCGGTGGGTGTGGCGTATAACACACAATCTTATAATATACAACACTTTGTTTGATGGCCTTAAAAAGCGGTTTCCTTCTTTTGGTCAAACAAAGAAGCCAAAGTTTGAAAATTGAATTAGAACCATACATTAACTTCCCTTTCAACAAATATATTATAATCCTGCATTCATTATTCATTGGATTTGAGGTTTGATCTTAGACATCTTGATCTTGAGCTATGCTTAATGAATCTTGAGCTATGCTTATGTTCTCATTTTATTAGACGTGCCTCGTTAAACAAAAATTTAAAAATTTAATTTCTCATAGGATTTTGTAATTCTTAACAAAAATTTAAAAAAGAAAATGAAGGATATTTTATGAATTTTCCATTTAATTTTGTATTTTATGTAAATTATATAATAGTTTTATTTTATTGGGAGGTTACTAAAAAATGGGAATTGGTGAAGGCGTTAATCACGGGCATGGATCCAAGCATTAGTTTCTTCAAATTCTTCACATCTCTCCCCAAACCTCGCACTTCTTTCCAACCGTCCAAACCAGTTTGATATCGTTTACTTAAAACTCTAAATTTGATTTTTAATACAATTTTTTATTTTATAACAGTTATTATAATTCTTCTTCTTCTTATTATTATTATTTTGTGTTTGTATGGAACACAACAGACACAAAAAGACAAGGAGGATTTTGAGGACACTGAAAAACGCCAAATTTGCAGTGACCTTATCGGAGATTTGACCTTAAAATTATCGTTAATTCTGTATACATAATTAAAACACTCAATTATCTATTTATTTGTAACCATAACCATAACCATAACCATAGGAGGAGTTTCAAGTAAGATTGTATGATGTGGTGTCAATTGTTGTTGCTTGCAAATGATGTATGTGTTATGCACATGCTTTTACACGTTTTCAAAATGCTATGTCAGGGAATAATTAGAGGGCTTCTAACTAACCACTAATGGAGAATTGTTTATCATTAATGACCTACAGGTGTATTGTAGTTGGCTTAAAAATGGTGGTGTTCTCTTTCAGGTTTAGGAAATTATCAAGTCATTAATACAACACAAGGATGAATCCTTTAGGAGCCACCCTATGACCTCATCAATGATGGGCAGTGTCACGTATACATACATATATTGAATTGACAAGGAGGAAAGTATAGCATCATTCATTATTACTACTATTGTTATTGTTGCTAAATATAAGTTAGGTGCGCATTTTGAAATAAACATGCTCCATGGGGCCAACCCCTCTTCCCCATATTTTCCTCTACTTTTCTTCCAACTTCCATCTTCGCACCACCAAAAGGCCTAAAAAGTCTTCACCACTTTTTCTCTCTCTAAATAAAAACTGTTTATTCTCTCTCTCTCTCTCTCTCTCTCCTTCCATTTGAACAGAAAAGAACTGAACTTTTTCACTTTTTCAAAGCCCACCATCCATTAGAGCTCTGATTCAAAGTTCACCTCAAAAGGGTTGATTTCAATTTGTCAAAATATTTGAAAAAAAATTAAGTTTCAAAATTTTAAATATAGATAACAATTACTACTTGAGAATCAAACAAAATTTGTTTCCGAAAAGTTGCAATAAAATATATATTTTAGATGTTCTTTTGTTAAGTCCACTATGGGATTAGTTATTGTTTGTAATAAAATAAAGGTTAGATAATGGTTTTAGTCCAACATTTCTTACAAAAAGACAAACCCATAGCATATTTTAAGATAAAAAAGTATTATAAAAAAAAGCAACTAAAATTGACACTAACACTCACACGCGTACGTAAGGCTTACGTAAAAATTATCTTTTCTAAGTTCAGCCACGTGTTAGATGTTAATGAAGATTTCCCATTAGATTAAAGACCTAAATCTTTGTTTCTTTGTACACGACTGTAAGAGGCGAAAAGGGGTTTAACAAAAGAATGACAGGGATTCCATCAGATTTATCTGCAATTGCAATCCCTTTATTGATCAACAAATGCTTTCATGGACAAAAGAATACAATGATCCATCACAAAATCAACAACACCATTGATCAGGAACTGTGAGAAAATAAGAAGTCATTGCCTTACGAAACCGTTTCTTGTATTGCATCGGAGAGATGATAGTTGGAGAAGCATTCCTCGGCCCTCCGAGTATCCCCGACGCCTTAACCCACGTCTCTAACTGCTTGTCCCATGTATACTGTCTCATGAAATCAATGATGCCTAACACAAGCTCCTTCCTCTCCTCGTCAACCCCGACCAAAAGCGAATAGTCCATAACGTCAATTGACTGAAGAACAACGTGAAAAATCAGTATATTTGCTCCAACATGAAGAAATTATTAAGTACTGAATGCAAACAAACATCCATCCATCCATCCAAGTTCATGCTCAGTTAATCCAAACCAAATGCAAAAACAAAGACTGATATCAGAATTCAAGAATGCAGCTTCTTACCGCCAAAAAATATGTGTCATTCCAGATGGCCCTTTCAAGATTTCTTTTGGCCTTGCTTCCGAGAAATATAGGTTTTGTCCGCAATGCTTCTAAAAGGTTCTGATCGAGTAGAACCTTGTCTGCCCCAGTCGTGTCCGGGTTGTAACGAGCTCGTGAAGATCCCTTCAGGTCATAAACCTTTGAGATATTTCTCATGAAGAAAAGATTCTCCATCACCATCAAATCCATCTTCACTTCTTTCCCACCTTTCAGGTGTTTAACAGTCACCTGCCACAAACATCCCAAACACTTTGTAAACCAAAATAGTAATTTAATGGTTAAATTATAAATTTGGTTCTTACGATTTCGAGAAAGTTAGAATTTAGTTCATATGGATTCAAATGTTAGAAGTAGTTCCTAAATATTTTTACCTGATAGATCCCAAGAATTTTTGCAAGGCAAGTTGGACTTCCAGAGTTAAGAGCTTGGGACAAGTACTTGAAATATTGAGGAGCAAACTCCTCAAAAGAATCAAGCTCTGTTCTCGTGACTTGTTTTATAATGAATCTTTCATCCAAAGACTTGGCGAAGTATACATTACTTTTTCCACCTTGTGCACTCCATTTACGACACCGACTTAAAGACCTCACAAAATCCACACCCTTGGGGCAGCACTTCTTCCTAAGGATGTCAAATTGCTTTGCGAAATAGCAAGTCACAGAGAAATTGACTTTACCTCCAGATGTTGAAGATTCATCGGTGAACGAAATCCTCAAATGAGGAGATTTTTTGGGATCCGAAAACAGGGTCCTCAAGGTTGTAGGATCTTCAGAGCCATAGTTTCCATAGTGAATATAGTCCAAGTTCAGAGCACCAAAAGACTGCCAAGCTGAAAGAGTTGAAGGACGAGAATCTTCGATGATCCTAGGGACACTCCGACCTCCCTCATTGTCGGTAAATTTATTAGCAACCCAGTCGTCATACTCTCTAGAGTTGAGGGCGTATGCAATTATGCTAGTAGGTTCATTGTCGTAAACAGCAATAACTGCATCAATATTGCCAGTCTGTGGAAGCAGCAGACGAACGCCTTCCGGGACATGAGATGCTGAGATAAAAGATGGAGTTGAACTGAGTAATAAATTTAACTTTTGTGTCTCAAATGGTAACACTTGAGAGTGAGCTCTAGTTAAACTGGAAACAGGATCCCTCAGCATACTATTGTAATCTGCAGAAGCATGGAAAGATCTAATTGTTGACAACTGAAAAGTGGATGGATGCAATCCTTTCCTGATTCTCTCTTGCATTCTTATTGCAGAATCAAAGGAATGAACTCTCACAGGTGACATCAATACCCTTCTCAGTTGAGGATTATCATTTTGACTCATTTGCTTTGTTGCCCCGTCTGGAGGTTCTTGTGCTTGCAGTGTCGAAACAGCCTGTGGTTTCGTCACAGATTGCTCGGATCCAGACCATGCACAATCTATTCTCTCAGAGAGAGTTGATTCATAAGAAGGAATGCCTTCAATTGAGGCTATTACGGCAGTCATTTCCTCATCTGTGTGTTCTTCCCTGCAGACTTGATGTAAGGTTGATTTGGAGCATTCTAATGCTGTGGGTTCTTCCTTCGGCATTGATTGTAAATCATTTCCAGCAGACTTGTGGACCGAAGAAGATTCATGAATGTTCTCATTGCAGCCAAATTCAATTTTGTCATCACTCTGAGCAGAATCTCTTTTCAAAACTCTCTTTAGAGGAGACGATACATCAGTCTTGGGATTTGAAAGCTTTTTAAGGAGAGAATCTAGTGAATAAAGGCGGTGATCCCAGTAGTGTGTATGAATTAATAGGGAACGCCTCAAGCAATTTAGTTCCAGAATGTCGACAGAAATCATCCCCAGTAGCGAAGGTTCCATCATGAAAGGTTTCAGCAAACCCTATTAAATCAGCAATTAATTAGATATACCCGTAAATATTAAACATAGATTCATATACAAATGTGCAATGACAACAATACAAGTTTATCATATTCAAATTGTTCTCAGCACTTACGATATAATCACTTCGCTCCTTTTGAATCAGTTCTTTCAGTTGCATGATGTGGCTTTGCATCTCACTCGAGTCTGACGATTCCTGCATGGACAACTTGCTTTTCTGTTCCATCCTATCAACAATATCAGAAATCTCTGCATACAAGCTTTCCATTTTGCCAATGATCTGATTGAAAGCCAATAAAGTACTTGAGTAAACAAAAGCAAGATTCTAAAATCATGTAAATTACATTCTGAATTCTCAAGACAACCTCTGAAGCTTCTTTTGATATCCATTCCTGTCTAACATGGCTATTGAACTCGAGCATAGAAGGGGGCAAGGTAACAGAGAGAATATCAATGGTCGAATATCTGAAGAAAGCAACCATGCTCCCAAACCTGTGGAAATTTCGTATTCAGTGACAATCAACATCCAATAACAATTTTAAAACTAATGCTGAACTCAGATGCCCAACACACCCATAGAAACGGAGGCAGTCTCTCTGCAATGAATGACCACAAGTTGCAACTCGATTTGCAGTTGCATGGTTTGAGAAACTAAGCTCCAAAAATTTTCCAAAAGAAAGCCCCCAGGCAGCATCAGACATAATAACCCTAG